AACCCAGTGCCAGGGAAACGTTTTAAGGAGCAAGGCACAGGGTGTAATGCATTAGGTCACCAGGTGAGAGTTTACTGAGGCATGGTGGAGAAATAATAACTGTGGAGGACTGCAGAAGCTGTACATTCTGACATGGTTTACTGTCTAGAGTCAGCATCTGTACACAGCACAGAGACAGCGTCACTCTAAGGTGGCGTGATCTTACCTCTTCCTGCTGGTCTTCGTCTCTTTTTCTGTCTCTGTCACCACCTTCTCTCCTCCTGTCTCCAGAAGCTCTCGCTCATTCTCTTCTACTTTCTCCTCCTCCAGGTTTGCTGAAACAGTGCCTTCGTTTCCAGTCTCTGCAATGTCTATTTTTCTTTCTTCTTCTTCATCAACCTTTTTTGACACAACTTCCCCTCTCTCGGTCTCACTCTCCATGTCTTCTATCAGTGTTATGTGCTCTGTCTCACTCTCCATGTCTCCCTTCCCCATTATGCTCTCCGTCTCCCCTCTCCCTGTCTCACTCTCCATGTCTTCTATCAGTGTTATGTGCTCTGTCTCACTCTCCATGTGTCCCTTCCCCATTATGCTCTCCGTCTCCCCTCTCCCTGTCTCACTCTCCATGTCTTCTATCAGTGTTATGTGCTCTGTCTCACTCTCCATATGTCCCTTCCCCATTATGCTCTCCGTCTCCTCTCTCCCTGTCTCACTCTCCATGTCTTCTATCAGTGTTATGTGCTCTGTCTCACTCTCCATGTCTCCCTTCCCCATTATGCTCTCCGTCTCCTCTCTCCCTGTCTCACTCTCCATGTCTTCTATCAGTTTTATGCATTCTGTCTCCTCTCTCCCGGTCTCACTCTCCATGTCTCTCTTTCCCATTGTGCTCTCTGTCTCCTCTCTCCCTGTCTCACTCTCCATGTCTTCTATCGGTTTTATGCATTCTGTCTCCTCTCTCCCGGTCTCACTCTCCATGTCTCTCTTTCCCATTGTGCTCTCTGTCTCACTCTCCATGTCTTCTATCAGTTTTATGCATTCTGTCTCCTCTCTCCCGGTCTCACTCTCCATGTCTCTCTTTCCCATTGTGCTCTCGGTCTCCTCTCTCCCTGTCTCACTCTCCATGTCTTCTATCAGTTTTATGCATTCTGTCTCCTCTCTCCCGGTCTCACTCTCCATGTCTCTCTTTCCCATTGTGCTCTCGGTCTCCTCTCTCCCTGTCTCACTCTCCATGTCTCCCGTCCTCATTGTGCTCTCGGTCTCCTGTCTCCCCGTCTCACTCTCCATGTCTCCCTTCTCCATTATGCGCTCTGTCTCCTCTCTCTCAGTCTCCATTTCTTCTTTTAATGTCATGCTCTCAGTCTCCTCTCTCCCTGTCCCACCTGTCTCACTCTCAGGGTCTTCCATCCCCATTATGTTCTCCGTCTTCCCTCTCCCCGTCTCACTCTCCATTTCTTCTTTTAATGTTATGCTCTCAGTCTCCCCTCTCCCTGTCTCACTCTCTATGTGTTCCTTCAATATTATGCTCGCCGTCTCCTCTTTCCATGTCTCACTCTCCAGGCCTTCCTTCCCTGTTATGTCCTTTATATCCTCTCTCCCTGTCCCACATGTCTCAGTCTCCATGTCTTCCTTCAATGTTATGCTTCCTGTCTCACTCTCTATTTCTTCTTTCAATGTTATGCTCTCAGTCTCCCCTCTCCCTGTCTCACTCTCCCTTTCTTCTTTCAATGTTATGCTCTCCGTCTCCCCTCTCCCTGTCTCACTCTCCCTTTCTTCTTTCAATGTTATGCTCTCAGTCTCCCATCTCCCTGTCTCACTCTCCATATCTTCCTTCAATATTATGCTCACCGTCTCCTCTCTCCCTGTCTCACTCTCCAGGCCTTCCTTCCCTGTTATGTCCTTTATATCTTCTCTCCCTGTCCCACATGTCTCACTCTCCATGTCTTCCGTCAATGTTATGCTCTCTGTCTCCCCTCTTCCTCTCTCCCTCTCCATATCTTCCTTCAATATTATGCTCACCGTCTCCTCTCTCCCTGTCTCACTCTCCAGGCCTTCCTTCCCTGTTATGTCCTTTATATCTTCTCTCCCTGTCCCACATGTCTCACTCTCCATGTCTTCCGTCAATGTTATGCTCTCTGTCTCCCCTCTCCCTCTCTCCCTCTCCATTTCTTCTTTCAATGTTATGTTCTCTGTTTCCCCTCTCCCTGTCTCACTCTCCATGTCTTCCTTCAATGTTATGCTCTCAGTCTCCCCTCTCCCTGTCTCACTCTCCAGGCCTTCCTTCCCTGTTATGTCCTTTATATCTTCTCTCCCTGTCCCACATGTCTCACTCTCCATGTCTTCCGTCAATGTTATGCTCTCTGTCTCCCCTCTCCCTCTCTCCCTCTCCATTTCTTCTTTCAATGTTATGCTCTCTGTCTCCCCGCTCCCGGTCTCACTCTCCCTTTCTTCTTTCAATGTTATGCTCTCCGTCTCCCCTCTCGCTGTCTCACTCTCCCTTTCTTCTTTCAATGTTATGCTCTCAGTCTCCCCTCTCCCTGTCTCACTCTCCAGGTCTTCCTTCCATGTTATCGTCATCTCATCTGTCTCATTCTCCATCTCTTCTTTCCTTGTTATGCTCTCCATCTCTCCTCTACTTGTCTTACTCATCACCTCTCCTCTTGCAGTCTCATTCTCCACCTCCCCCGTTTTTGTCTCGATCTCCATCTCCCCTTTTTCTGTCCCTCCTGCTTCACTCTCAATCTCTCCAGTCATTGTCTCACTCTCTATATCTCCTCTACTTGTCTGTCCTGTCTCACTCACTACCTCTTCTGTCCTTGTTTCTCTCTCAGTATTTACTCCGGTGTTGTTATCTATCACTCTTCTTGCTGCCTCTCCTGTCTCACACTCTATCTCTCTTTTCCCTGTCTCTTCTGTCTTGTTGACCACTTCTCTCCTTATCTCATTCTTCATTTCACCGCTGCCTTCCTCACTCTTCATGTCTTGTCCTGTTTCTACTGTCTCATTCTCCATCTCTCCTGTTTCAAACTCCATCTCTCCTCTGTCTTTCTCTCCTGTCTCACTCTCCATCTGTCCACTCCCTGTCTCACTCTCCATCTCTCCACACCCTGTCTTGCTCTCGATCCTTCCTATCCCTGCCTCACTCTCGGTCTTGCTCTCCATCTCTCCTCTCGCCGTTTCACTCTGCATCTTCCCACAAACTGTCTCACTCTCCACCTCCCCTCTCTGTGAACTGTCCATCTCTGCCTCTCCTGTCTCTCTCTCTTCTTTTTCACTTATCTTATCTTCTCTATCTGTGTCTTGACTGTCCATCTTTTGGGTTTCCGTCTCGGTCACTGATTTGTCGATCTCTTGTGCCACAGACAGATTCTCTATTTCAGTCTCCAACTCTCCACGATCTGTCTCACCCATGTCTTGCTTTATCTCACCGCTGTTCAGTTCTTCCTTTCCAGTTTCCAGTTCTCTCCGTGCTATCTCAGTTTCAGTCTTTGGTTGTTTTATTTCTTCAGTCTCCATCTCTACTGTATCTGTGTCTTCTTTTCCCCTGCCAGTCTTCTCTCGGCTCTCTGTGCTGTTGTTTTCGGTCTCCATCTCGGTTTCCCCTATTTCTCTTTCAGGTTTGTTTGTCACTGTTAGACCTGCCTCTTGATCTGGCATTTCTATATCTGACTCTCTTCTTTCTGTTTTGACACTCTCTTCATCGGTCGCTTCTTTTTTTAGATCTATTGTCTCTGTCTTGTCTGTTTCACACGTTGTCTTCTCTCTTTCACTATCTGCTTGTAGTTGAGTTTTTCTGGTCTCCGTTTCTTCTCCCTTTGCATTTGCCTCTTGTATTTCTATCTTTCTTTGTTGTGCACTTCCTCTGGCTTTGTCTTCTCTCTTTGTATTGGTCTCGTTTGTCACCATCTCTCCCTTTTCCATCTCCCTCTCCTCTCCATCTTTATTTGCTGTTTTGGTCTCCCTCTCTACTCTGGTTTCAGCAGGGCTGCTGTTGCTGAGCTCTCCCGCTTCTCCTGGTGTCTTTCCATCCTGCAGAAACTCTGCCGCTTCTGGTGTGGGTTTGGAGTGATCAATTATCACGCTGTCCTTTCCCGCCTTCCACAGTTTATATCGCTCTGGCTGGAACTTTCGCACAAACACGTCCATGGAGATCTTCACCATATCTTTACGGCACAAACACTGAGAGGAAAGAAGAAAACAAAATACCAGCAGTCACTCTGTATAGCAAACTGCCATTTTATTCTAAACTCACCTTACCATATAGCAAAATACAACTGATGTTCAAGTTACATGTCTTACATCCTCTCACATTATTATTCCTTTCTGCATAATTAAAAGCTGTTTTTTTACACTGCCATTGTTGTCATGGGTACACAATATTCAAATTAACTCCTTTAACCACAAAATTCTCATTCAATTATTCGAGTTAAACCTATTATTCAGTGACTACTACTATTGAATTATAGTAGACAAACAGATGTCATGTCCAGGCAATTAGGTTTTTTTTTTTTATTTTTAATTATTATTTTTTATTTGTTGCAGGGTTGACAAGTAGACTGAAAAACCAGATAAATAAAATAAACCCTAGTCCTTACTGAATTTTGCAAAACAAAAGCTTTCATTTGGTATGTATGTGTAAACATAATGCCCTTTACAGTGGTGGAGCACCTCGAGGCTATAACTATAGTGCACACTTCTGAAAGTCCCACTACACACAGCGCTGGGGGTACTACCTCGAGAATAATATTTCCTAGGCAAAATAAAATGCAGTGTACAATGATATATAATAAACAGTGGCAAAAAAAGTATGTGAACCCTTTGGAATTTCATGGTTTTCTGAATAAATTTGTCATAAAATGTGATCAAACATAGTTTGTCCTTGATATCCACAAATGCTGGTTAAAGCTCTATCATGCAAAGAAGAAGCCATATGTGAACATAATCCAGAAATGCTGCCGTTTTCTCTGGGCCAAAGCTCATTTAAAATGAAAACAATTGGAATGGAAACAATTATTGGAAACAATGAAGTGGTAGTTCAGCAGTTAAGACCTTGGACTTATGATCGGAAGGTCGTGAGTTCAAATCCCAGCACTGCCAAGCTGCCACTATTGGACCCTTGAGCAAGGTCTTAACCCTCATCTGCTCAGTCGTATAAATGAGATAATTGTAAGTCGCTCTGGATAAGGGCGTGCGCCAAATGCTGTAATGTAATGCAATGAAATAATGGATGCGGTGTCCTCTAAACTAAAGAAGACTAAAGAGGAGAGGGACCATCTGGCTTTTTATCAGCGCTCAGTTCAAAAGCCTGCATCTCTGATGGTATGTTGGTGCAATAGTGCCTATGGAATGGGCAGCTTGCACATCTGGAAAGGCACCATCAATGCTGAAAGGTATATACAGGTTTTAGAGCAACATATGCTTCCATCCAGATTCCATCCCATCTTTACTTCTGAGAGACATTGCCTCTCCAAGATGCTCTTTTTATTCCCAGTCATGTTACTGACCTACTGGCCAAGTAACGTAATCCTTAAAAATGGTACAGTTCCTCAGTTTAAACATCTGATATGTTTTCTATGTTCTATTGTGAATAACATCTGAGTTAATGAGATTTGCAAATCATTGCATTCTGATTTTATTTACCCAGCATCCCAACTTTTCTGGAGTGGGGTGTATTAAACTGATAAAATGTAAACCTCTTCATTAATCACTTGAAAGTGCCTAGTGCTGAAAGCTTTACCAATGCAACAGTTGCTAAGGAGTGATTGAAGGCCCAAGCAAATAAGGTGCAGGATGAACTGGGTCTGGTCACGGTGTGAAGGTTTAATATCAGCATATCCTCACACTTACTAATGCTGCCTGCTTGCCATAGTCGATCCAGCGCTGAGTGGCGAAGTTTGTAGACTCTGCACAGTTGAATCCATGATTGAACCCAGCGTGATAGGCGTAGGGGAAGGTCACAATAAACTGACCTGCTTCCTGTACAACCTGACAGAAACAAGATATAAGACTTTAGACTTGTGTCTCAAACACTAGAATTAATTTTCCTTTACCTGAATCTCAGTTACTTTACTTTCAAATATTAATACAGGGTTATTCTGTATGAAGCATACCTCAGGATTAATACATGGCAGCTACCAGTGAGTGCGTTCACAAAAATTTACATTCCTACGCAGTACTTAGTTGCATTATCTCAAACATATAGGTCAAGTGTTTTGAGACTATGTGGTGAATCAAACGCTATCTTGGATGCTAATTAGGCAATTAGCAAACAAGCTATTTTTACAATCACTTATTTTGTTGTAGCTAACTACTAAATCTAATGTTCTTTTCTTCATGATGCAGTATCTCTGCACACTGTACTGAGCGGGCGTGATTGACATCCCTCTCTCACGTACTTTCAGCCTGCTATTCTACTTAAGCAGCACTAAAAACGATGGCAGAAGTAGGGAGAATTGGAATGGTTTAATCCTATTTGAAAACAGCGTTATCTCTGTAAGCTAGTCGTGTTAATACAGTTTTTAGTTGCAAGTTTGCTGATATTCCCGCATTTAATTTCCTTGGGTCGTTGCAACATCAACCATATTTAACACACTCCATGTTCCATGAAATACAAATCAGAGAGTTCTCTGATCTATGGGGGATGCACTAATATTGTGATAACTTTGTCATGATAAGTGCCATTTCTGACTATATATTCACAAACGTTTTCTCTTCTTGTTTTACTTTTCACCCCAAATACATGGAATAATTTTTCATGCCACAAACATCAGTTGACTGAACAATGTAGCTACCAGCAACCAAACAACAAAGGGAAAAAACCCCCACAAAACTTCTTTCACTGCACATCACATGTCCGTCCATCCTCCATCCATCCACCCATTTACTGCTTATCCTACACAGGATCGAGGTGGGAGCCTAGAGCCTATCCCAAGGAACTCTGGGAACGAGGCAGGGCACAATCGTACACACATTCACACACTACGCACAATCTGGAAATGCCAACCAGCCCTGTGCTTCTGGGGTTTCCTCACCAAGTCTAAAGACATGCGTGCTTCAGGGTGAACATGCAAACTCTGTGCACAGTGGAGGTGGCAATCGAACCCCCAACCCTAGGTGTGAGGCAAACGAACTAACCATGCATGTCACGCAATTTATGAAATCTAAACCCTATTGCCAGCTGATTTTTTGGTGCCTTTTGTGACATTCTCTCATTTGAATTAGAAAAATGCAAATCTAATATATATGTAAATACATTCATGCATTTATGTAAATAATTCCCTTTGGCTGTCTATCTTCACTCGAGAACAGACATAAACAACAACAACAAAAAACTCATTCAAATCGGAATTATTTACATAAAAGCAGCTCCAGCCACTTTCTTCCCTTTCTTCCTGTCAGTGCATGAATGAGTGATGTTCGTGTCTGCAATTATGACTTTACTATAAATAAAAAAGCAGAAAAAAAACAAACATGCCATTGCTTAGACAAATCAAATGTGAACTATACTGAAAGTTTAGAGTTAGCATTTCCAGCAGTGTTTCTTCAATTAAAATGTGTTGTCAAATCTGGAAATGTTTGAGGAGTATAAAAATTTTTTAAAAAGCCATTTGTTTTGCTGTTGCCAGTAGTAACAGAGTTTTAGAGTTAATTAAAGCAGCTGTAAGCAAAACACAAACCAACCTTCTCAAGAGGGATGCCATACTTTCTAAGTATTGATGGGGAAATCAAAGTCATTTTGTGTCGCAAGAAGGCTTCACAACTTTGCGCACTTCCAGGAAAAAAGCCTGCAAAACACAATCAGATAAACAATCAGTATGCCAAGACAGTCTCACAACTACCATAATTTCCAGACCATAAGCCGCTACTTTTTTCGCACGCTTTGAACAATGACGCGGCTAATTTATGGATTTTTACGGGCTAACGAGTTTCATGCCGCCAAAACATTTAGCCTCGTCACATCGGACCAATGAAATTACCCAACAGGTCACAGTGGACCAATGAAACTGTTCTAATTAAATCTAACGCTCTCACACTACATTCTTCAGATCAGTCGTTTTGCGCTTCATGCACACCCCCTCATCAGGGAAAACACACAAACTGCATATTGGTGGACGTCATGTCTCCGCCCCGTCTTGTCATGTGTTGTCGAGTCACGTGTGTTTTGGTATTGCCCGCAGCTGTTAGCAGTTTGGCTGGTGTGTATATATACCAGGAGCCATGACACACACAATGCGGGTAATTAGATATAGAGTTAGAATTAGATAGCGAATATAGTTAGAGTCTTTGTTCATGCCATGTGTCTTAGTTCTTGTTCATGTTTCCTAGCCATAGTCCATGTCTGAGTTCATGTCAAGGATAGTTAGCTTATAGCTTAGCCTGTAGTCTAGTAGCTTATAGCATACAGTGGGGGGAAAAAAAGTATTTGATCCCCTGCTGATTTTGTACATTTGCCCACTGACTTATTTAATGAGGGAAATAAGTATTTGACCCCTTTGCAAAACATGACATAGTACTTGGTAATGACTTAGTAATTACTTTTCATTTTCAATGCCCTGGCTAAGGGATTGGCTATGCCCTGGCTTCTCACCCAAGATTTCATCGTCCCTTTGATACGGTGAAGTTGTCCTGTCCCCTTAGATGAAAAACAACCCCAAAGCATAATGTTTCCACCTCCATGTTTGACGATGGGGATGGTGTTTTTGGGGTCATAGGCAACATTCCTCCTCCTCCAAACACGGCGAGTTGAGTTGATGCAAAAAAAGTCTCATCTGACCACAGCATTTTCACCCAGTTGTCCTCTGAATCATTTAGATGTTCATTGGCAAACTTCAGACGGGCGTGTATATGTGCTTTCTTGAGCAGGGGGACCTTGCGGGCGCTGCAGGATTTCAGTGCTTCACGGTGTAGTGTGTTACCAATTGTTTTCTTGGTGACTATGGTCCCAGCTGCCTTGAGATGATTGATAGGATCCTCCCGAGTCGTTCTGGGCTGATTCCTCACAGTTCTCATGATCATTGCAACTCCACAAGGTGAGATCTTGCATGGAGCACCAGGCCGAGGGAGATTGACAGTTCTTTTGTGTTTCTTCCATTTGCGAATAATCGCACCAACTGTTGTCACCTTCTCAACAAGCTGCTTGGCAATGGTCTTGTAGCCCATTCCAGACTTGTGTAGGTCTACAATCTTGTTCCTGACATCCTGAGAGAGCTCTTTGGTCTTGGCCATGGTGGAGAGTTTGGAATCTGATTGATTGATTGCTTTTGTGGACAGCTGTCTTTTATACAGGTAACAAGCTGAGATTAGGAGCACTCCCTTTAAAGACACCTGGGAGCCAGAAATCTTTCTGATTGAGAGGGGGTCAAATACTTATTTCCCTCATTAAAATGCAAATCAATTTCTAACATTTTTTACATGTGTTTTTCTGGATTTTTTTTGTTGTTAATCTGTCTCTCACTGTTCAAATAAATCTACCATTAAAATTATAGACTGATCATTTCTTTGTCAGTGGGCAAACGTACAAAATCAGCAGGGGATCACATACTTTTTTTCCCCCACTGTAGCTTATAGCCTAGTAGCAGATAGTATAGCTTAGAGTTGTATAGACTTAGTTTATAATATAGATGTAGAAGTGGTTTATAGAGTATAGATATAGAGTCTTTGTTTCATGTCATAGTTAATGTTTAGGTTAGTTGGTTTAGTTAGCTTAGTTCATTGAGTTAGTCATGGTTCTTGTATCTCTTGGGTCTGCTCTCCTCTGTTTCAATAAAAGGTCTTGTCCTAACTGCACTTGCATCGGTCCTGCTTCGTTTACGTCACGAATCGTGACAGTTACAACATGGACACCTGCGGCTTATAGACAAGTGCGGCCTATATATGTACAAAATTGTTTTTCTTCTTAAAATTAGCGGGTGCAGCTTATATTCAGGTGCGCTCAATAGTCCGAGAATTACAGTACCAGACAGAACCAGTGGAATCCTAGGATTCATAGGAAAAGTACGCCAAAATATTAAAATGCAGTCATTGTTTTCTTTAGCCCAAAGATTTGGTGCACCGAGCTTGTTTCTTTAGTTTTGCCTTGGAGCTATGATACTAACAA